GCCCATAATAAAAGGAAACCTCACAATAATGAGCAACTTCTTGAAAGTTGCTTGTTTTAGGGGCGCCCAGAAATGTAAAGTCATGAAAATCGTCACAGTGACCATTATAGGTTTTAATCGCCTCTTGCTAGATTCTAAAGGCCCATCAACTAATTGTTGAACACCCCTGGATCCCTCGAACCCTACCCCTATAGAAAATAAAATCAATACATAGCCCAAACTGTTTACCATCTCGAAAGGTTGGCCTCATCTCTGCAGGATCGAATGGCTCCAGCAGCCAGGTGAACGAAGGGGTTTTAGATTAGATGGTTGTAGATAGTCCGAAATACATATATATATATATATCTCTCTCTCTCTCTCTCTAAACGGAGTTTCTTCTGCGGAAGAATACCTGGAATATATCATTTAAAAATATCCTAGGGGATGGGATAGGCTTAGTCAACAGGTGACGCGGAGCTCCAGGGCTGCCAGATGTTGGGGTCTCATAGGAATGAAGAGAAATGAATTAGTTGGGAAATTAGTTGCACCCCTATATAAATTATGTTCTGTATAAACCCTTTTCGAAGCTTGCATTAGACAATCTCTTTATAGTGGGTCCTAAATAGAAGGGTATGGAACACTCAGCTAGTCCCTATACATATCCCTAATCCAGACCTGTGGGGCCCAGCTTTTTGCTGTCTGCTACGCAATGGATCCCATCCATCACCTTGGATGCCGTTTAGAGGACTGATTTCTGCCTGAGCTACGAGCTGTTTTTTGGGGGAAAGGCTTCATTCAACAAATGCACGCAGGACCGAATTTGACGAAGCCATATACTGGCAATCTTGGGATGCTGGGAACTTACTTTGTTCGCTGGGTTAGCTAAGAAAGTACATGGTCATGTGGTATTCCAAGGTCACTCATCGTCGTCTCCGTCGTCAAGATGTGGCTATGTAGATGATCACGCGAGGTGCCCCAATGTTGTTTGTTGCTTTAGCAAAGCATTTGAGCTGCTGAGAGGGGTGCCGCATGTTCAAGTAAATGTGACATGCCTGTTTCCCAAAGCCCGTGGTGACTTAAGTTTTGTGCTTAGGGGGTGAGGCTGTTGCAATGTCTTCAGGGCAGAGGCTAGCCATGCTTCTAGAAAGCATCCCGATCTTGCGGAAGCGCTTCCGCAAAGGCCGTGATTGGATCAGGGAGCCTGGAGAAACCTCTGGGGACAATGTTTTGCAGACTACGAAGGCAATAGAGCTGAACTTCAGTACCCTCCGGACTGTTTTCAAGTGGATGCCATCGCAGAAGTTGTCTATCACAACATTGGAACCTGAGGCCTGGTATTTGAAAATTTTAGCCTTAACAACTAGTAGACACCACATAATAATGCATGGGAATCCTTCTGTATTTATGGGGTCCATTAAATTTCAAATGCTTAGTTGAACCGGATGTTACTGAAATCTATCAATGTGAGCCCGTATCATCCAAAAAAATATTGGGTTACCATATTAGTAACTGCCCTTTACTTGATATAATCCCCTGAACCATTGCCATCCCCATCAGGTGAAGGCGCTCTTCCGCAAGATGAATCATGTGCCAGAGGATCGCCGGCAGTCGTGGATTGATTCCTGGTCTGTGCGGACAATGGTTTCATTTGCTATGAAGCGTCAGCGTGATTCTGAGCGCAGGGGTCAAACACCAAAGGACACTTGGATAAAATGTATTTACTTCTTGACTACATACTCTAGGTGACTCTGCAGCATTGGAGTTGGCACATACTATCCTAAGGAGGAGTCGATTCGCAAGCTCTTCGTGCTCATCAAGCAGAAGCGCAAGGAGTGGGCGAAAAAGGTGAAAGATGCCCGGCTGGCTGCTATGATGGAGGAGGGTGAGGAGGAAATTGAAGATGAAGATGAGGATCAGGAAGGCCCCGCTGAAGATGAAGATGGGGAGGATGATGGATATGACGATGATGATAATGCGCCAGGACCTGGCGAGGATGAGGACGATGATGCTCGTGCGGGAAATGATGAGCCTGAGGAGGGAGGTTCTCGAGGGGATGAGCATCCTAACGAGGAGGATGGAGCGGGAGATGAGGGAGAGAATCATGATGAAGGGCAGGAGCATGGAACAGGAGCTGGAGAGGAAGGCGAGGAGGAAGAAGACAATGATGCGGATGATGCGATTGTTGAAGAAGGTGTAACCTCCAGCACCTATGGTATGGCCCAGAAACGAGATAGGCTCAAGAACCTTCGTGAGCAGATTGCAGCCCTGCAAGCCTCCATGTACCTCACCTGAGTTAAAGACCTCATGAAGTTTGCGTTGCAACATGTTTACAAGCGCACCCCGGAATGACTCCCTTTGTTTTGGGCATCTTAGGTCAAACCGGAGGACGGCCCCAAATCATGTGCCTGCTGGCTGCTTGGCTAACAAACTATGTGAGGTTGAAATCAAGCTGCTTCACTACAGGTCTACATGTTGTTTGTTGCAGCAGTGCTACATGGGATTGTTGACTGACTGTCTTTCCATGTATTGAGGCGAAATCATCATGATTGAGGATAGCCCTCCCCGCCCTCCGCGTCCCGGCATTCTTCGTCGTGTTCGGAGCAAGAGTGCAACCCGACATCCGGATCAGGAGGATATGTGCTTTACAAGGGTTTGATGACATTCACGCATTTTTTGGGGGCATGAAATGGGGAAATCTAATTTGACTGCAGGAGACCCAGCTTTGGGATGGACGTCCTGCCACGACAAGCCCTGCGCCCTCCAGTGTGACTTTGCAGTTGAGTCCTCTTGACAAGCGTGAGCCCGAGGTACCTAAGCTTTTTTGATACAATTCAGCCTGAGTACTCATGAACCATTAATTGTGTGCCCCAATTTGTTCCCTGTCAGGCGCCAGCGATGGTCACAGGAGAAGCCCAGAACGCGCTCAGGAGCTTGAAGCGCCCAGCTAAAAGGGGTCCGGGAATGAAGACCTCTGG